TTTTCTGATTAAAAACTCACGGAGACTGTCTGGGTCAAGACCACAGCAGGTAAGGCACTTGCTTTGCACACAGCCAACCTGGATTTGGTCCCCAGCATCCCATATGGTTCCCCGAGCACCGCCAGGAATAATTCCTGAGTGCATGAGCCAGGAGTGAGCCCCTGAGCATCGCCAAGTGTGGCCCAAAAAAAAAAAAAACAAAATCAAAAGAAAACAAAAAAGTCACACAAAAGGTTTCTCCCAAAAGACATTTAGAAAATACTTAAGAATCAATCTCAATAATAAAAAAAAAGAATCAATCTCAAAAGAATGAAGGTTTTGGGGGGCTGGAGTGATAGCACAGTGGACAAGGCGTTTGCCTTGCATGGGGCCAACTCGGGTTCAATTCCCAGCATCCCATAAGGTCCCCTGAGCACTGCCAGGAATAATTCCTGAGTGCAGAGCCAGGAGTAACCCCTGTGCATTGCCAGGTGTGTCCCAAAAAAAGCAAAAAAATAAAGAAAAATTTAAAAAAATATATCAAGCAGCTGTTCATACCTGGAGTCTCTCCGAAATCCATTTTTAAGGTATCATTTCCTACCTGGGAACTACGATGCATGGAAGCTAAAACTCAAAAGATGCCATCAACTGCCAGCTCGCCAACAGTACAAGGAGACACACTAGTCTGAGTTCCCAAGAAATGACTGGTACTGATGTGCCTTCCAGGCACGTAGGGTTACTTTCTGCTTCTAACAACGCTTTCCAGTTCCCATGACTTTGCCGAACTCAGGGCTTTAGCTTATAAAGTTTCACCTTCAACCCAGAGCCCAGAAATATCAACAGGCCTCCCCTGTGCTCTGTCCCCTGCTCACCCCACCCCTCTTCCAGGCGAGAGATGGAGAATGTGCCTTTGGCAACACCGGAGCACAGACTTACGTGTGTAATGGCTGATGGAGCTGGCATTGCCAGGCACGTGCTTCAGTTCTGGGTAGATGGTGATGTTATACAAGGTGCCGGGGCTCAGATCATCAAGAAAGAACGTCTTGTCAGAGGTCTTCTTGTCGATGGACCTGTTGTCTGACCTGATACGCAGATGGTAGGTGTACTCAGAGGCATAGTCCTTGCTCTGCCAACTCAATGACATCGTGGTTGTGGTAAAGTTGGTCACTTGGATGTCAGACACGGCAGTATACTCTACAGGAGGGAAGGGAAAAGAAGAGGAAAGTGGATTAGGGACCATCGAGGACATTCAGCTTCGTTCCAGTGTCTGTCCCGAGAAATGTCTTATTCTCTTGACCTAAATCTCAGACTCACAGAAGGCAACTCTAAAACTTTGATGAGAAAAAGCAAGGACCAGTTCACAGAAGACTTCTGGCTCCCGATGGTAATATAGATGAACTCACCCATTCACCTCTTAATTCTCTTAATTCTCTCTGGGATTTTGTTAGGATCTTTATGATGCACCCCCACTGATATAATATATTATATATATGTATAATATAAATATATATTATATATATGTATACACACACACACACATACACACACACACACACATACACACACACACACACATACACACACACACACACATACACACATATGCAGAGGGCCTTGCTGATGCTCCAGGGTGCCTGGCTCTGCCCCACCAGAGACCTAGTGCCAGAGGCACCCGGTGCTGGGGTCCTTCCCCAGCTTCTTTCCAGCACAACAGTGTTCCAAGAAATACTTCCGGGTCAGAGGGGAAAACTCAGAGGAACCTCAGATTAGGCCTCATTTACAGAAAGGGACCCCGGGGACCGGGCACTGCTCCTGAGTTATAGGATAGACACAGGTATCAGGGAAGTTTCTCTTAAACACTTGGAGTGATTCAGAATGTTGAAGTTTTCAGGGCCTCAACACTTAAATACGAATCTTTATAAGCTATTAGCCCTCAACGCCGAGCTGGAGCGAAAGCACAGCGGTAGGGTGTTTGCCTTGCACACAGTCAGTCCGGCCAAGCCGGGTTCGATTCCTCCACCCCTCTCGGAGAACCCGGCAAGCTACCGAGACTATCTCACCCACGCAGCAAAGCCTGGCAAGCTACCCGCAACATATTCAATATGCCAAACACAGTAACAACAAGTCTCAAAAATATGGAGACGTTACTGGGCCTGCTCAAGCAAATCGATGAACAACAGGATTTTTTATATATAAAAGGATATAGCATGAGACTAATATCCAAGGCCAGAGAAAACAGGGGCCAGGAGGACTAGTCAATGACTAGAAGCTTTCCGTGAGAGTGTGGGGGGGCAGGAAGGGCAGTTAGGATAGGGAGGGGCCAGTGTATTTCCAATAATAGTTGGAAATGATCATTTTGGACAGTAACTGAGTGTTAACGGTAGGTGAAGGGATATTCCTGATAACCTTTCAGTATCTGTAATACAAACCATAAGGCCCAAGAGGAAAGGAAGGGGGAAGGGGGGGGGAGAGAGAGAGAGAGAGAGAGAGAGAGAGAGAGAGAGAGAGGTAGTAGAAGAGAGAGGGGATTGGAGACAGTGCAGTGAGCAGGAGGGAAAGTGGGGACATTGGTGGTGAAAATGTACACTAGTGAAAGGATGGGTGTGGGAACATTAGTGTTTTCTTACAACTCTTCTTGTCTTCTGTTAACAAGACTCCTGGTTTGTTGAATCATGCAAAATTCCTCCACGGCTGCCTCTATCAAAGTAATAGGTAAAGGTAAAGGTAAAGGCCCTCCCGTTGATCGTCGATTTGCTCGAGCGGGCCCAGTAACGTCTCCATTGGAGACTTTGTTGTTACTGTGTCTGGCATATCGAATACTCTCGGTAGCTTGCCGGGCTCTCCGAGAGGGGCGGAGGAATCGAACTCGGGTCGGCCATGTTGGCCGCTTGTAAGGCGAACGCCCTACCGCTGTGCTATAATAGTATTACTATTTACTGACTTAAAAATTATAGGAGGCCAGAGCAATTGTACAGAGGATAGGGCATCTGCCTTGCATGTGGCTGACCCAGATTCGATCCTCAGCATCCCATATGGTCCCCCAAACACTGCCAGAAGTAATTCCTGAGTGCAGAGCCAGGAATAACACCGATCATCGCTGTGTGTGACCCCAAAAGTCAAAATTAATGAATTAATTAAACAAAAAATTATAAATGAGGATACCAGAAAGATAATTATAGAGGATAGTGTGCTTGCCTTGCATGTGACCAACCCAAGTTTGATCCCTGATACCCCATATGGTCCTCTGAACCCTGCCAGGGGTGACCCCTGAGTGCAAAGCCAGGAGTAAGTCCTGAGTACCACTGGGTGTGGTTAAACAAAAATTTTAATGAGATTTTTTTAAAGTAGGAAAATATGAGCACACAAATCATGACAGCAGAGTGACATCAAACAATATTTTAGTATTATCAAGTGGATGATACCTAGCAAACCCCTTGAAAAAAGCTTAAATGACTCCAAGGAATCCATGAACCACAATTTGAGAACCTCTGATTTAGCCCAAGGGTCAGCAAACCTTTAATACTTGCTGAAAAACAATTTTTACAATAAGTAAAAGTAATTTTTAAAAATAATTTTAAATATTTTTAATTTTTTTTTAAATTACAGAAAAAGATACTTAAGGCTTTGCAAGTCTTAAAGTCTGTAACTACTCACTTTTAGCACAAAAGAAATTTAAATGAACATGGTTACATTCCAGTCAAACTTTACAAAAATAAGCCGTGAGCTTGATCTGACCTTGGAGTCATGGTTATCTGCTGACCCCTAAATTATTTTCACTTGGGCCACACCTGGCAATGCTCAGGAACTATTTCACTCTTGACTGTGCTCAGGACTGACTCATGGTCAATGCCAAGAATCAAACTGGTATTGCCCGGTACAAGGAAAGTACCTTATCTACTGTACTATCTCTCTGGCCCCTGGCTCCTCATTAAGACAATGGAATGCCAGACAGATATCAAAAAGTATGGTAAAAATATTTATACTATCAAAGAATAATATTCATTTTAAAAACCTTGTAAGTGGAAAAACGATGCCAAAACCACAAAAATGAATAAGTTCAATGTTCACAGAAAAAAAAAGAATACCTAAATACCTGCATATAACTGACAATCATAAAACATCAAACACCCAAAAGTTATCAGTCGTCATCTGCTTGATGGTTTATGTGTGATTTTTTTTGCTTATGTATATTTTATATTATGAATAAGCATTGCTGTCATTATAAATTTTAATTGTTTTTCTTAACCAGAAGAAAAGCGATATGTAAAAAACACATAAATTGTATTGATTTCCAAACATCACAATCTCACAGAATATAAAGACCATTTCATGGAGAATATCATGCTAAGTGAAATTAGTCAGAAAGAGAGGGACAGACATAGAATGACAGCACTCATTTGTGGAATATAAAACAACATAATATGAGACTGACACCTAAGGACAGTAGACATAAGGGCCAGGAATATTGCTCCATAGTTAGAAGCCTGTCTCATGAGGTTGGGGAGAAGGTAGCTGGAATAGGGAAGGAATCACTAAGTCAGTGATGGTTGGAGGGATCGTTCGGGATGGGAGATGCGTGCTGAAAGTAGATAAAGGACCAAACGTGATAGCCTCCCAGTATCTGTACTGCAAACCATAAAGCCCAAAAGTAGAGAGAGAGAGTATGAAAGAAACTATCTGTCATAGAGGCAGGGGAAGGGGTGAGATGGGGCGGGGGTATACTGGGGACATTGGTGGTGGAGAATGTGCACTGGTGGAGGGATGGGTCTTCAATCACTGTATGACTGAAACTCAAACATGAAAGCTTTGTAACTGTATCTCACGGTGATTTAATAAATAAATATATATATGTATATATATATATATATATATATATATATATGGTCTACAGAGATAGCACAGCAGGTAGGGCATTTGCCTTGCATGCAGTCTACATGGCTAACCCAAGTTTGATTCCTCCGCCCCTCTCGGAGAGCCCGACAAGCTACCGAGAGTATCTCGCCCACACGGCAAAGCCTGGCAAGCTACCTGTCACGTATTCAATATGCCAAACACAGTAACAACAAGTCTCAAAATGGAGACATTACTGGGCCCAATCGAGCAAATCGATGAACAATGGGAGGACAGTGACAGTGACATACATAATATATATATGAGATATATATATAATATATAGACAGTGCAAACAAGGATCTAATATCTAAAAGATGCTCAATAAATATTCCCTGGAGGGAATTACCTCCTAAAAAAAGAAGGAAGGAAGGAAGGAAGGAAGGAAGGAAGGAAGGAAGGAAGGAAGAAAGAAAGAAAGAAAGAGAGAGAGAGAAAATAGAGACCATTTGCTTACCAGTCCTACAGTGGATTGTTTCTGGCATCCCTTCTGTTCTATTCGGTCCCTGTGGAATTATTTCAAACGAATACAAATATCCAGGCAGTAAGTCATCGATGATGATGGTAGTTTGGTTGGTGGTTATCTTCTGAATTTCACTTCCTTTGCTTAGGTCTCTGACAACGATCTTAAACTGAGTGGAGTTATTGCTGTTCCAAGCCAAGCCAATTTTCGTGGTGTTGACGCTCACCACTCGGATGTCAGAAACTGGAAGAGGGACTGTGGAAGAAAGTAGGTGGCTATCAGGAATCTATTTCTTTGGCAGACGAGGGTGACTGAAACTTACAAAATATTAACATTAATGCTTGGGACTCTTTTTTTTGTTGGTTGTTTGGTTTGGTTTGGGTTTTTGGTCCACAGTACCTACTCCTGGCTCTGGGCTCAGGACCCTATACGTGGTGCTGAGGATCAAATCCCAACCAGCCACACGCCAGACAAGCACCTTACCCACTGTACTCTATCTCCGGCTCCACACTTTTGGACTCTGGGTCTCGCTTTTTCTCTTCCTCGCATCATCGCCTACTTTAACAAGGGCCTCTCAAAACCCTGTATTTCTGGCTACCGTGAGAACACTCTGGCACAGAGTACAGAAACTGTGTGCCTACAGTGTAGATACTAACTCATTTCCAGAAAGTGAGAAGCATGAAACCCTTTGGGCAAAAACTCTTTGGCCACTGCTCATTACTTTCTTGAATAAGCATAACTAAACTTTCCAGAGCTCTGAGAGGTACAGCACAAGTTGCTTTTTACTCCTCCTCCAAATCAATCTTCCTGTCCCACTTTTTTGTTTTCCTTTCATACATCCAAGTTTTGAGGGGGAGTTTTCATTTTGTTTTGCTGCTGGAGATAAAGACTATATTTCCCATCCTCCCTTGCAGTTAATTAGTCATGTGACTAAGTTCTAACCAATGGGATGTGAGCAGTGTGGCTTCTTGGATGGAGCACAATCCGTTGCCCTTCCTCCTACTTAGAACTGGAAAATAGAAGGGATGACTAGACTTCCTGACAGCTGATTCTAGAGGCAACACTGTGGCAGTAATTAAAGGTTTCTGATGGCAGGATCACAGCTCAAAACTCACATCCTAGATCTAACAGCTAGAGCCAACGTTACTGAAACTGACAAAGCAGATCACTCCCATGTGGGGGACTCTGCGGACTGAGGTTGGGGTCATTTCTAAGTCCCATCCTAAAACCTGCTCCCACAGCTATGTTGGGTTAACTGTGTCCCTTTAAAAAAAAATTTATTTAGTCACTGTAAAAATACAAAGTTTTCGTGATTGGGTTTCAGGCATACGAACTTTGTCCCGTTTAGGTTGAACATAGGGCTGGAGCGATAGCACAGCGGGTAGGGCGTTCGCCTTACACGCGGCCAACATGGCCGACCTGAGTTCGATTCCTCCGCCCCTCTCGGAGAGCCCGGCAAGCTACCGAGAGTATTCGATATGCCAGACACAGTAACAACAAAGTCTCCAATGGAGACGTTACTGGGCCCGCTCGAGCAAATCGACGATCAACGGGAGGGCCTATCTAACCTTCAGTACCTCAGAATGAGATGGTATTTAGAGACAGGTTTTTGAAGGTGTAGTTAACATGGAGTTACTACCTGTAGGCCCAGACCCAATATGGCTGGTGTCTTTCTTTGCAGAGATAAGGACACAAACCTACATAGACAGAGAACAGCCAAGGGAATAGTTGAGGAGGAGGAAGTGGAGGAAGTTGGTCATCCACTCGTGAAGGAGAGCCTTCTCAGAGGTAGCCCACCCTGGTAACACCTCACCTGGGGCTCTCCGCCTCCAAACCATGCAAGAATCCATTTTTGTGGTCTCAGTCAGTCTGTGCTACTCACGACGGCAACCCCCAGCAAACCCCTGTAAGCTGGGTGTTCTAATGATTCCGGAAGCCCTTGACTCCTGGAACTGAATCCCTTTCTGTTTGAGATAGTTCATGGTGTCTGCTGCCAGTCACCAAGTCAGTGGAAACATTCAGCCTGGCAGTGTATTGGTCTTTCACAAAGAGAGAAATAAATTCCTGTCATGTTCAACAGATATTTGGAGGGTGCTTTTTAGTTAGGTGTGCTTTCGGATACAGCTGAATCTAAATCACAGTCAGAATAGTTTAGAGAACTAATCTTGCACCCCGATCTCCAGCCTAGACCTCTGGAATTTTCTTGGGATGGGAATGGGCCAAGTTCTCACTCTGCCAAAGCACCCCACCCACAGCCAATATCATCTAGCATATAAATAACCCAGCTTCATTCACAGTGCCAATACTGATCTCAAAGAGATGCCAAGCTCTGAACCGTCCCAATTCCAGAGCTCCGGGAATGTGTGGCCCCAGATGCAGCCACACAACACCCACAAATCTCGCAGTACTGACCGCCCCGTGGGAGCACAGCAAATTAACTGGGAAGGCTGAGTACAAGCCCACCAAGCAGAATAAGTGAAAACAGTAAGAGAAGGTTCAACTAGCACCCACAGCTCAGTACATCCTCAAACATTAGCTTTAGTGAAACCATTGTGAGATTTATGTTGTAATAAGAAACATAAAAGGGCTAGAGGGATAGTACAGTGGGTAGAGTGTTTGCCTTGCACATGGCTGACCTGGGTTCGATCCCTGGCATCGCAAATGGTCCCCGGAGCTCTGCCAGGAGTGATTCCTGAGTGAGAGTCAGGAGTAACCCCTGAGCATCGCCAGGTATGAACCCAAAAAGTAAAAATAAATAAATAAATAAAATAAAACCTAGAAACAAATCAATGCCTGCTAAGGGGGCAGGCTTAGGAGAGAGGAGGACACTGGGGAGATTGGTGGAGGGAAGGTCACCCTGGTGGTGGGATTGGTGTTGGAACATCAAATACCTGAAACAACTGGATTATGAACAACCTTGTAAATCACGGTATGTGAACAAAGTGTCAAATGTTGTTTTTCTAAAACATAAGTAAAGAAGTGAACGGTACAGAAGTGAAAAGCTGAGTCCTTTTACCCCAGAGCACCTGTCCAGGGACACTGGTAAGAATACTTACGGAGCGGAAGCAATAGTGGGTCAGTGAAAGCATTCCTTTTTTTTTCTTCTTTACATTTTCTCACTCAGAACACTCTGTGGGTGGGGAATGCAACAGCAGCGCCCAATGCAAAGTGTGTGCTCGGTCCTGTGAACTATTTCCTAGCCCCTCATCAAGCATTCTTATGAGACAAGCCCTGGGTTCAGTCCCAGGACCCCTCCCTGTTCTGCCCCTTGGTGGCTCTATGGCCTTGGGCAAGCTGTCCTATTCTGCTGACCATCCTCTCCTCTGTAACACAAGAGCCCTAACTCTTACCACACAGGCCCCTGCAAACCCCCGAAAGTTCCTGGAGCAACATACCGTCAGTATCATTCGAGGACTGTGCTAATGGTACCCCGGTATACCTTCATTTTAAATGACTGTACCTTCACCCCTTCCCATCTCCCCGTCCTTCTGGGCTCCTAGTTGGTCACATCCATAAACTGTCTCTAGGTGCCATTTAAGTGCATTAATTGCCATGGCCCAGAGATTCACAAATGAATCTCAGAACAGAGCAGCTCACTGCAGAGATGTCTCCGGACCCCAATTACTTAAAATTTTAGAAGTCCAGGAGTGCATGGCCACTCTTGTGGCAGCGTGACACCGCATACTGATTTTTTCTTTTTTTAAAAAACTTTTTTGCTGAATCACTGTGAGATAGACCCTTAGAGACATCTCATACTATTCATAACAAGGAATACAAAATAGTAATGGTGGTAGGACTGGTGTTGAAATATTGAATGTAATCAATTATTGTGAAAAACTTTATGAAAATAAAATTTAAAAATAAAATAAATAAAATAAACGACTGTGCCTTCTTCAGAACACAAAGCTCTTCATCTGCTGCCTCTCACCTTCTCTGTATACTAAAGGCACATGGCGGGGGGGGGGGGGGGCTAAGGGGTTGGAGCCATAGCACAGCAGGTAGGGCATTTGCCTTGCATGCAGCCAACCCGGGTTCGATTCCCAGGATCCCATGGGGTCCTCCGAGCACTGCCAGGAGTAATTCCTGAGTGCAAAGCCAGGAGTAATCCCTGAGCATCACCAGGTGTGACCCAAAAAGCAAAAAGTATAAATAAATAAATAAAGGCACATGGGGGACAAGCCAGGCTCTTTCTGTCTCCACAGGCCCATTGGCTCAGGGTCTCCACCATTCTCAAATCACAACTCCCAGGCCCGGGCTGAAGTCACGAGAGCCCAGCTCTCTCCTCTCACCTGTCACTTACTGGGTGGCAAGACCTGCCTACATCACAGATTGAGGAGGCTGCCAATGACATCACAGGGCAGGGAAGGCGGAAGAGACAGAGCAAGGCACGCCTGTGGTCAGCTGCCACATGGAAGAGGCCGGCAATGACCACTGTGATTTGGGAGTGGCAGGCAGTGGCCACTGTCATCACACCGCTGTCCCTACCCACTGGCACTCAGCTGGCCATTCCTTGAAGGAAGGAGTGGAGGCTGGTCCTGGGTCTGGGCTGGCAAGGCTGGGAGAGCCAGGGGAGAACTCACGGGTATACAGCTGCAGAGAGCCAGGCAAGCCCTGGGAGTCCCCATCCAACACCGGCCACACTGTGATGTTGTAGAAGGTGCTGGACTGGAGCCCGGTGATGACAGTAGAGGTGTCATTGGTGGTGAAATTGCTGTTGCCGGTCACCGGGACAACTAGTACATGGTAGGAATAGTTGGATGATGAGGCGTTTTGCCTCAGTTCCCAGCTCAGAGTCAGGTTGGTGGCCTGGATGTCCACTGCCGTGAGGTTAAAAACTTGACCAGACTCTGTGAAGATAGAAGGAGTAAAAAAAAAAATGAGAGGTGCCAGAAAAAGAGAGAGAGAAACAGAGAAAGACAGAAAGAATTAGAGAGAATGAGAGAATGAGTGAGAGAGAGAGACAGAGAGAATGAGAGAGAAAAAGAGAGCGAGAAAGAGAAAGAGAGAGATGCTGTGGTCAGACCACATGCTTCTTAATGGCTGCTCCTGCTACACCATTTATCCACAATCACACGCAACTACATGATCACACAATTAATTTAGGGGGGCTGGAGGACACAGCCAGCATCGTCTTCTGTGAAAACACACAATCCATTCATTGCAACTGCCTGGTCATTTGTCCTTGGGATGGATTCTGAGAGGTGTATGATGGGCTCCTGGGATCAGAGTAACACACATGTGATGATTTTCCTTATCCCGGGGCCTGGAGGGCCCAGAAAAGTTCTCCAGCTATTTCTCCATTCAAGAATCATATATTGGGGCTGGAGCAATAGCACAGCGGGTAGGGCATTTGCCTTGCACACAGCTGACCTGGGTCGATTCCCAGCATCCCATATGGTCCCCTGAGCACCACCAGGAGTAATTCCTGAGTGCGGAGCCAGGAGTAACCTCTGTGCATCACTGGGTGTGACCCAAAAAGAAGGGGGAAAAAAATGAATATATCGGGGCTAGAGCCATACCACAGCAGGTAGGGCATTTGCCTTGCCATCATCCCATATGGTCCCCCAAGCACCGCCAGGAGAAATTCCTGAGTGCAAAGTCAAGAGTAACCCCTGAGCATCACCAGGTGTGACCCAAATAGCAAAAAAAAAAAAAAAAAAAAAGAATGAATATATCAGGGGCAGGATGCCAGGGCCCAGTTCTATCCGAGGAATTTCATCTGGTCCCCTGAGCCCACCAGGAGTAATTCCTGATGAGCTCAAAGGACCAAGTGCTCCAGATGTGATGTGATGTGTTTCCCCCCCCCCACCCATCCAAAAAAGGGGGAGGGGAGAGAGGGAGAGACCAACCACAGGCAGAGACAGTACCGGGCTTAAGGTGCCCACAGGTGACTGACCCCGGCTCATGCCCAGCAAGGGTGTGGGTGTGACCCTAAAGGACCCCCTCCCCAGCACAGCTGGTGATCCTGGAGACCCCCAGCACTGCCAGAGGGGTGCAGACAGCCAGAGCAGCATCACATACTTGGCCCTTGCATTAAATTGTCAGCCTGGTCCACTGAGACTCATCCAAAGGGGTCTCCTGGGTCCCTACCCACCCACCCACCCCCAAGCGCCCCTTTAGAGACCTAGTCCCTCAAAATAAAAAAAAGAAAAGAAAAAGAAGAAACTCACTCCATCAGTTCTGTATCAAATCTCTCCCAGAAAGCCCCCTTGGACTCAACATGCTCATGACGCCAGCCAGAGATTCAGACCCAGCACGGTTCACCCAGCCCACCACAAGCCGATGCTGGCCGAAGCCCCTTCACAAAGGTCAACCTACTCGTGGTAAAGCTGGTAATTTGCGGTGGTCCCTCCGTGCCATTTGCCGTCCGCGAAAACACCGTGACGTTATACTCCAACCCGGGCGACAGCCCAAGGAGCAGGACTGAGATGTCTCGGGACCGAGGGTCGAGTGTGGTGGCGTGTGCAGAGATGGCGGCATCTGTTTCAAATGCAACAGCACAGACATCAGGAAGGGCCACGGCTATAGCTCTCTGGGTACCTGTTCTCACCTCCTTGCCCCCATCCCCACAGCAGACATGCATCCTTCAGGTACTGGACTCAAGTTCTCTGACCCCCGCAGGCTCTGGACACAGTACTTCTCCAGATGGCTGTCTCTAACCCCCTCCCCACCTTCTTTCCTTTAAATCATCTTCTCCTGGGGTCAGAGCCAGAGTACAGCAGGTAAGGCGTTTCCCTTGCATGTAGTCAACCTGGGTTCAATCCCCGGCATCCCGTATGCTCCCCCAAGCACTTCCAGGAATGATTCCTGAGTGCAGAGCCAGGAGTAAGCCCTGAGGATTGCTGGGTGTGACCGAAAAAGCAAAATAATAAATAAATAAATAAACAAATAAATAAATCATCTTCCCCCACTCAACTCTGAATGCACGGCTTTCAGGGTCAGCCACAAATGACTCTAACTTCTAAACCGGAAGAACAGTCGAGTAAGTTTTCCTTGAGAAGCCTGTGTGTGCTCCCGGGGCATGTGGAGATGGCCATGTGGAAAACTTTTTTATTTTCCTTAATTAATTAGGGTGCTAATGACAAGAGTGCAAATGACAGTTCCCTGTGTACACAAATCCGACAGCACACCCTTCACCCTTACACCCACCTGCCTCCCCCAAAATTCTGAGGGCCCCTTCTTTCAATGGGAATTTTGTTCAGGAAGAAAGAAACAGGAAGCTGTGAATCTCTTTAAGGCAGGGAAGCCCTAAAGGGTCATTCTTTCAGTCTGGTTCCTCCAATTCTACTCTGCAATCAAGAATCCCCTGGGGGCTGGAGCAGTAGTACAGCAGGGAGGACATTTGCCTTGCACGTGGCCAACCTGGGTTCAATCCCTAGCATCCCATTTGGCATCCCGAGCAATTCCAGGAGTAATTCCAGAGTACAGAGCCAGGGGTGACCCCCACACATCTCCGAGTGTGACCCAAAAGCCAAAAAGAATCCCCAACATTCCCTTAGCGAGCCTGTTCCTTACAAAATGGGGTACAAAATGGGGTCTAAGGATTTGTTATCTTGCTATAAATAAATAAATAAATAAACAATAGAAGCTGGAGCAATAGCACAGCAGGTAGGGGCGTTTGCCTTGCATGCAGCAGACCCGGGTTTGATTCCCAGCATCCCATATGGTCCCCCGAGCACCACCAGGAGTAATTCCTGAGTGCATGAGCCAGGAGTAACCTCTGTGACCCAAAAAAAAAAAAATCTGAAATGTGATAGGAAACTCCACCTAGTGACTCCACAGCCAATGCTGGTTCACTGCAGAGTGGTCCACTAGGTTTTCCCCGCTTCCCTTTCCTCAAAAAAAAAAAAAGCAGGCTCCCTTCTCCTAAGGGCCCTCCTCAGGCTAACAAGTGTAACTGATGCCAGGGAAGTTTGCAGAGCTCCAGGGCAGCAGGGAGAAAGCTCAGTGGGCTAGAGCTCAGCTTTGCTTGCAAGACGGAGCTCGGTGTTTCATGTGCAGTGAAATCAGCCAGAGGGAGAGGAACAGACTCTGAAAGATCTCTCTCATCTAGAGATGTAAAGACCAAAAGGCGAGAAAGAACAAAAGGGAATGCCCTGCCACAGAGGCAGGGTGGGATGGGGGGGAATGGGGGGTGGGAGGGATACTGGGACTGGTGAGGGTGGAGAATGGGCACTGGTGGAGGGATGGGTACTTGATCATTGTGTAACTGAAACCCAAGCCCAAAAACTTGTAAGTCTACAACTGTACCTCATGGTGCTTCACTAATAAAAATTAAAAAATAAATAAATAAAAATAAAGAGATGTAAAGAAGCCTCGGAGAGGGAATCCCAAATGCCCAGTGGCAATAGAAAGGAAGGGCAGGAGTACTTCAGTAGCTTGGCATGGGCACTGGGCAGGGTGCAGGGATAGTCAGGAGGACATAGTAGGAGGGGAAATTAGGATTATGGGGGAGGGGAAGGTGCCCGCCACAGAGGCAGGCTGGCGGGTGGGAGCAAAACGGGAGGACATTGGTAGAGGGTAAAGGGAACTGGTGAAGAGATTGGTGTTGGAACAAGACATGCCTGAAACTCAATCCTAAATATCTTTGTAACTTCGCAATTCACCGGGATTCAATTTAAAAAAAAGGGGGGGGGGGGGAGGAGTTCCAAGTTTAATTCCAGGTACCACATGAGCCCTGAACACTGCCAGGGGGTGGCCTCAACACAAAACAAACAAACAAGCTCCAGGGCCAGTTACTTTCCCAGATGCCCAACCCCAAGCCCCGCCCCAGCCATACCCAGCCCTGAAGGAGGTGACCTGTCAAATGAGAATATTCTCCTCTGTTCCCCCACCCAGCTCTGGGCTCACAACGAAATGCAGAGAAGTGAGAGAAACACCCCTGTAAGTTCTGCCCCCCCCCCCACCCATGTGATGAGAGGACACATTTTTTGTAACTGTCCAGTTACTGGGAGTCAGATCCAGGCGTGTACACCCCGTGCCTATTACTCACCTGGGTCACTCTGTGCACACAGAGTTGAATTTGACTCTGGAGGACACACGGCAAAGCAGTATTTCTTCCTTGGCTCCAGGTGTGACGCGTTGTTAGGACACAGATTCTGGTTGCCTGTAGAAGTTTTCAGAAGCATCCGGCAGGTATCCGTGTCATTCTCATTCCTCCAGGTGACAAGAGCGTCAGTGTGTCCCTGCCCCACTCACTATGCAGGTCTGAGACAGAACTTGGCACTGTGTGTTTAAAAACATATAATGGTGGAGTCATGGGTTCAGTCTTCGACTTCCACCTGCTCCCCCCCAGCACCAGGCCAACAACAGTCCTTGAGTACCACTTGGTGTAACCCCAAAAACAAACCAAAAAAATATCCAGGAAATAGACTGGGGAGGCAGCTCAAGGGATTAGAGTGCATCTGGGAGAGCCAGGACTTGGCATCCTCTGGAACCCCAAGCTCCACCCAGGAGTACCCCCGCAGAGCACCGAGCATTACAGGAAGGTGTGACCAAAAATAAAAATAAGTACGGGGGGGCAGAGCGATAGCACAGTGGTTAGGGCATTTTCCTTGCATGCGGCTGATCTGGGTTTGATTCCCGGCATCCCATATGGTCCCCTGAGCACTTGCCTGAGTAATTCCTGAGTGCAAAGCCAGGAGTAATCCCTGAGCATTGCTGGGTGTGACCCAAAAAGGGGAAAAAAAATAAGTACAGGTGTTAAGACACTGGCCTCACATGAAGCTGCCCAGGGCTACATCACCCAGCACCACTTATGGTCCCCCAGGAACCAACAGGAGTGGTCCATGAGCACAGAATCAGGAATAAGCCCTGAGTACAGCTGGGTGTGCCTCCTGTCCCTTCCCCCACACAAATAAATAAATAGCACTGTAGCACTGTCCTCCCCTTGTTCATCGATTTGCTCAAGCGGGCACCAGTAACATCTCCATTGTGAGACTTGTTACTGTTTTTGGCATATCAAATATGCCCCAGGGAGCTTGCCAGGCTCTACCATGTGGGCGGGATACTCTCAGTAGCTTGCGGGGCTCTCGGAGAGGGAGGGAGGGAGGGAGGAGGGATCGAACCTGGGTGGGCCACATGCAAGGCAAACACCCTACCCACTGTGCTATCGCTCCAGCCCAATAAATAATAAAAGAGCAATGGGCACTGACAGAGCAAAATATGAGTGACTGCCTTTCACAAAGAATCTCTGGGGCCCTTGGGCTTCCAGCATCCCCCATGAGGAGACTTCCTGGACTTGAATGCCCTCGGAAATGGCATCATCCCACGGAGGGCAACCCTGGGCATCCTCGTGCAGAAAGGCTAAGAGCTGGCAGGGCTGACGCACAGGCCTGGCGCGTGGAGAGCCCAGGTTGGATTCTGGGAAGTGCAGAGTCCCCCAGACATCACAGGGGTGGCCCTGAGGGCCCCCAGGGCTGTACTGATTATCACTGGGAGTGGCCCTGGGTCCACAGCGGCACAGCATGGGAGACGCATCCCTCTGAACCACGGGGGAAAACTATAGCTCAGGAGCTGTGAGATAGTGTTGTAGGTAGGACACATGTCTAGCAAGCATGTGACCCCCAGCACCACTCGGTGGGTGCAGGGCTCCTTTGTCCTACAGTCCCCCACACGCCACCAGGTGTGGCCTGGGCATCCTCAGCACAACCAGCACCACATCCTCGGGCACAGGTGGCCGAGAATCACTGCAGGGAATCTCCTGAGAACCATTTGGGAGCCTCCCCCGACCACCACCACTCCCGCCGAGACAAAAATGTTTAGGTCCCAGCTCTGCCCACTTTAGATGAACCCCCTGTGGCCACAAACTTCCAGAAGAAAAACCCAGGTACGTGGGAGCAGGGACTGACAATGCCAGGCCACATGGCAGCAAGGGACAGTTTGTCCCTTCCAGTCTCCCAGACTGCTTGGGATCCTGGCTGTCACTGCCACAAACTGTCTCAGGGTGCCATCTCAGCACAATAGCAGCCTTGGTCCAGAGACTCAGCAGTGAATCCCAGAAGATAGCAGCTTGCCAGAGATCTCTCCACACTCCCCCAGGACACCTCAGATGGAGCAGTATCCCCTCTACACCCACCCCAGATGAACCCCTCGTGATAATCAAAATAAGAAATAGAAAATAAAGTACCTAGCATCTGCCTGTGGCAGGCAGGCTTGAACGGTGGTGGGAAGATTAGAAATAATAGTGATGGGAAGAGGGAATGGTAGTGGGATTGGTGTTGAAATACTGAATGTAATCAAACAGTTATGTGAACAAACTTATGAAAACAAAATTTTAGAATAAAAAAAATGTTTAGGGTCTGTCTCACTCTCTGAGACAGTAACAGTGACCTGATGGCTTCTCCGTGGCCACTGGACAACTGTAGCCTTAACTCTATGGCTTTCAGACACTGGAAGACCAGCATCCATTAGAACTCCTGATTGCTATGGTTATGTTATGAGTCAAGATGCAAAAGAATAGCACCCCATGTGGTATGGTGTGTGTGTGTGTGTGTGTGTGTGTGTGTGTGTGTTGGATGTGGGGGGACCTTCATCCATTGCTGATGGGAATGTTGACTGGCTCAAACTTTTTTGGAAAACAATATGGGAATTTCTCAAAAAAACAAAGAACTGAGCTTCCATATGACCCAGCAACTCTACTTCTTTTCATCTACCCCAAGAGCCCCAAATCTCAGAAATCAGAGGTGACATCTGCACTTCTATGTTCACTGCAGCACGAACCTCAATAGCTAAAATCTGTAAACTATCCAAGAGTCTAAGAACAAACGACTGGATAAGGAAACTATGGTACATCTACCACAATGGAATTCTATTCGGCTGTTAACCAATACCAATACCAGCAATTTGGTGGACAGAACTGAATGAAGTCAGCGTGAAGGAATGAGACAGATACAAAATGATCTCTCTCCTCTCACACACAGGATATAAAGAAACATAGTAGGGGAATACAAAAGACCAAAAGCCATAGAATCTAAGAACTTGTCTACAGAACTGAGCTTCTCATGGCAGTGAGACATTGTGTGTGTGTGTGTGTGTGTGTGTGTGTGTGTGTGTGTGTGTGTGTGTGTTGGGGCAGGGGGTTATGGGGGTGCACGTGGGAGTCCAAAGTTGTGGTGTGGGGAAGAAGGACAATTACAGAGAGAAAAAGAGACAATGATGGAAAGAAATGAACACTCTTGTGGAGATGCAATGTTGGATTCATGAAATTCTATCATTGTGGGGTCTTTGCTGACCTTCTGAGCTTAAATATGTGGTTCTACTTAGTCTTAATAATCATTTTATAATAAGTAAATTGGCAGGCTTGGCTTGGAGATCCCAAGCCTGCTCAGATTGTGACTGGGGCCTCCTCCACCCAGATCCCCCATCTTCCAGTATGTAGGCATTACACTCACCAACTTCCCCCAGCGCAGTGTAATCCCATCAACGGCCAAGACCCAGAGACTATAAAACCCTGCTCCTGGAAGCACGCAGCCACATTCGCAGCCGAGCAACATCTTAATCTAGTTCTTTCTCTGGAGAACCTGGCAGGCTACCAAAAGTATCCTGCCCACATGGCAGAGTCTGGCAAACTCCCCGTGGCGTATTCAATATGCCAAAAACCATTAACAATGATGGGTCTCATTCTCCTGACCCTGAAAGAGCCTCAAATGTGGCACTTTTTAAAATCTCAGGGCTAGGATGAAGGAGATGTTACTGGGGCCTGCTCGATGAACAACAGGATGACAGCGATGCAGTGAAATTTGCAGGCAGGGCTGGAGTGATAGTAAAGGTAAAGGCCCTCCCGTTGTTCGTTGATTTGCTCGAGCGGGCCCAGTAACATCTCCATTGGAGACTTCGTTGTTACTGTGTCTGGCATATCGAATACGTCACGGGGAGCTTGCCAGGCTCTGCCATGCGGGCGAGATACTCTCAGTAGCTTGCCGGGCTCTCCGAGAGGGGCGGAGGAATCGAACTCGGGTCGGCCATGTTGGCTGCGTACAAGGCAAACGCCCTACCGCTGTGCTATCGCTCCAGCCCTGGAGTGATAGTACAGTAGGTAAAGATGTTTTCCTGCATGTGAATGACCCTGACTCAATCCCCAGCATCCCACATGGTCCTCTGAGCCCACCATGAGTAATACCTGAGCTCAGAGCCAGAAGTCACCTCTGAGCACACAGCCGAGGTGGGGGGGGGGGGGGGAGAGGAGGAGGAAGAAGAGGAGGAGGAGGAAGAGGAGGAGGAGGAGGAAGAAGAGAAGGAGGAGGAAGAGGAGGAGGAGGAGGAGGAGGAGGAGGAGGAGGAGGAGGAGGAAGAGGAGGAATAAATTTGCAACAATAAAAAGTGTTAAGGACATCTAACCACAATAGATTCTAAGCACAATCAAATATCCCTGGGCTGTCTTTTCCTTAGGAACACACATTTTTCTCGAAAGTATCCCCAACTCTCATGCCCAGTAGAAACTCCTTGGGATACACACAGCCTCCACTTTCCTGAGGGACTTTCAAGAACCTGGCCACGACAGACAAGCCACTGTTCCCCTTGGGCATCTGTCCACGAGTCTGGGTAAAAGTAAGAAGTAACCAATACCAGAAGACTGCTTGAAACTGGGGAGCTAGAAGTAGCGAAAATCTCCTCAAAGGCACAACAAGCACTTAATATTGGACTATCCTAGACCCCCAACAAGCCTTCCTTCTGCGCGGTGCCTAAAACTCTCTTTCCAAAGGCACCTAGAATGGGGGGCTAAGACACAGGTCAGGGAGGAAAGTTTCTGGATCCTTCCGGGGAGCTTACTTGTTGTGATAGTCTGGACGGTGGGATCTCCCTGAGTATCAGGGTCTACTTCCGAGAAAATGAAGAAAGTGTATGAGGTCGCTGGAAGTAAGTTCTTGATCACCACCCAGGTTTGGTTGGAAACTTCCTCCTCCCGCTCAGCGTCGGCCTCGCTCTTGATCCGAATGCGGTATGAGTAGTTCGAAGCGGCTGCGTCCGGGTTCTCCCAGGTCAAGTTCACAGAGGTCGGAGCGAGGGAAACCGCGTCAATGTTCTCCACGGGGCTGGGTTCTGTTTTCATGACATTTCCAGAAAAAAAGAAAGGGGAAAATAAAACATGTTTTCAAAAAGAAATGTAAGACTCGCCCTCTGTACCCACCTCAGTTATCCACAGGTCTGCTTCCGAGATATGCACCGTAGAATTTTGATTTTCTTGAGTTGCCTGCTGGA